TTGGGCTTTACCTTGACTTTTAAACGTCTGGGTGCATGGGACCACCAATAATTAAGTTTAAGGATCCTCGCAGGCAGTATGAGGGTTCTGTAAAGTAATGAAATGGTGTCGTGTACTGTACGTTCAGATAATTACTTTAGTGCTGGGACCCGTGAAGATTCCGGTGTAGAAAAGGTCTTCAGCAACCCATGCTTACCGTAAAAGGCGACTATGCTTGTCGTAAAAGGCGACTAACGGGATCGGGTGGTCAGGCTCGCTGACTTGGTTGATGCACGGGCATCGATCTCAATTGCGTTGATCGATGCTCATGACATGAATCACTGGATTGTCTGGTCCAGACTCGATTATTTACAGACCGCCGTCATATAGCTGGAATATTGCGGCGTTAAACAACAAAGCAACCAACCAACCTTAGTGCTGGGAATGATCTTATGGACAGGGGTCATGATTGATGTATGAAATAACACACACCCATAATTGCTCTTGATACGCTGTAGGTATAATGACTAATATTGTGGGTCTCTGCATCCATACTCCCCTACATTTGTGCTTCGCGTAAAAACCCTTAAACACTTTGTCATATATACATGTATGACAACACATTTGAATGTTGTACATAACTGATTTATGTGACACATAATCCGACAGAGAAACTTATATGTCGCCAGCTGTGGTAGCAGCGTGGAGCTTCTGTGCCTATCTTCTGCCTGCACATTTGTTCAATCCAACTATTTCAAGTCTGAAACCTTTGAGAGAATGTCGGTGCTATATGCATCTTTCATCATGTACGTGAAAGTTATAAAGGGGACTCGCATGTCTAAGTTTTTAGGGTGCATCATTTGTTTAGAGACGGATGCTGTGCGAACGTATTTCCACAAAAACATATTGCCAACACTTCCATTTTAGCTTCACTGGGATTTTGAATGGTATTTCGGAGGCAATTGAACATATCATGTAATCAATTGTATGATGACGAAATTAACTCTCATGTCTGACATATCATACGAACAAACCGGAGACACACAATGGACAAATATGACTTTGTGAATGCTCTGTCCTTAATGTGTCCGTCTGTTTGGATAGTCATCTTTATTTGGATTTAATTCTCATTGTAATTCTAATCACCACAAAAAACTTCTGATGAAATATTCAATGACACAACTGACATGAAGGTATCTGAAGTGAACATTAAATCAGAGATATTTTGTTTGTTTGTTTGTTGTTTAATGCCGCACTCAGCAATATTCCAGCTGTATGACGGCGGTCTGCAAATAATCGAGTCTGGACCAGACAGCATTAAACAAGTTCAAATACGTTTACTGTTCATCGTTTTGTCAATGTTTGTATGTTGAACCATGCTTTAGACAATATTACGGCATGTCAGCTTGATGTGAAAGGAAAGCAACTGCCCCAATCACATCAACCGGGGAAACGTCCAAATCCTATCACAAACCTCCATGACTTCACAAAAAGAAAACTAACAGAAGCTGTGCAGATTCGCCGGCACCAGACATCAATCAACATAGATCAAGGCTTTTTATCCCATCCGCCAACTATGAACTCACAAAGCAACATTCACCCCACCTATGTTCACTTTTTGGCTTCCTTATCATGTATAAAATATGTTGTCGTTACTGTTAATCCTCCACCTACAATATACATGTAGATTCTGTACCATGGCCATTAACAACGGTATGGGGATCTGTACCGAAACGTCGCCTTTACTGTAAGTGAGTGAGTGAATATTGCTTAACGCCGCATCAGCAATTTTGCAGCTATTCGCGGCGACGCCTTTACTGTAAATAGAAAAGTTATTATCCATAAATTGTGTCTACTCTGTTGATTCTATTTGAAATATACTAGTATTAACTTGGTAGGATTTTCCCTTTAATAGCTGCTTTGATGTAATATATATAATGTACAATTACAGTCTCCGTAAAAAAAGCATGATTCCGTTTAACAATGGTTACAATGCCAGTTTAAATAATGGGAGAAAATTGGAATGGAATTTTCCTAAAATACTTGGAATAATAGAACTGAGATGATATATTGTTTATTCATGTTTTATTTATGTAACTAGTGTAGCGGGTTTTAATACCATTTATTTGCAGTCAGGGATGCAATTGCAATTTTATACTTAAATGGTTCAAACTTCCGACATAATTATAAATATTTTATCCTCCATTTATGCGTAAAATATTTTTCAAAATGTGCAACGGCCCTCCAAATAGCACGACTGGTTTCAATGCCTGACCTGTATATTAATCATGCAGAGTAAATGACCAGTAAATGACCAGCAACTGTTATAACAATTCCAGCAATATCACGGTGGGTGCACACCACAAATGGGCTTCACGTACTGTTTGTTTGTTGTGAAAAGCCGCACTCAGCGATATTCCAGCAAAATGACGGCGGTCTGTAAATAATCGAGTCTGGACCAGACCAGTGATTGACATCATGGGCATCGATCTACGCATGTGGGATACGATGACATGCATCATTTAAATCAGCGAGCCTGCCCACCGATCCTGTAAGTCGCCTCTTACAAGCGGGGGTTGCTGAATCATCACGGGTTTTGCGTTTATGGAGGTGTAAACGCAAAAGCCGTGAAGAGTGAATGAGTGAGTGAGTGAATATTTAACGTCACATCGGCAGTATTTCAGCCAGATATCGTGACGAGAAGTTATACATTAATGAAACATATATTTAGACTAAATAAAAAACTGTCAAGGATGGACAGTACAATAACTAGAATATCACAGTTTTGATTTAAAACTAGTTGAGAATATTAAAAAGCAGTAAGAATTAATGCACAACACAATATAAAAATGGGCTTGAGATCGTCAGTCACTGAAGGGAGATCACCAAACTAGGGACCACGTGGACTTACAGTGCCTTTGCTTCCTGCATGGAGCCCGGCAGGATCTACATCATCCCCTCAGTCACGGGCGTCAGTGTACCAGAAAAGCCAAAGATTAAATTAACGAATATACTACGTTTAAAAGCCTGGCTTCGAACGATATGGGACTTACATACCCTCTTTGGGGGACAGACCGCCTCCGTGGTCTCCGGGCGGACGGTCCAGGGTTCGATCCCGGGCCGCGTCATACAAAAAGACGTTAAAAGATTGTACTTGTTGTTACCCTGTCTGGCGCTCGGCATTAAGGGGCTAAAACAAGGACTGGTCGGCTCGGAGTCAGTATACTGTGTCTGAGTGGGGTATTCATGTTCAACTGCGGCATGGTATCCCAGTGAGCTAGCACTATAAATCGGCATCAGTCCGGACTAGTACAAGCAGCCACACACACACACATACACAAGTGCATGCACGTCGCTATATAAGTGCAATAATCTTGGACGCGACGTTAAACCCAATTTCACCTCTTAGGGGGACAATAATTTTACGCTACTTCAACCCCCTTCGAGGGTACAGCCACTAACAATCTCAATTATAAATAAGCACTAAAAGAATAACTCAATACTTCAAAGTTTATGAACAAGTTCAATTTCTTTAAAAAAACCATAATATTAAATGAGCATTAACATCATTAAAAAGGTCCTTAATTGTTTTAACACTGAAATATTTATCCCTTGTGATGGAAAAGTCACTACAGTATAGCAGGACATGCCTGACTGTGATTCTTTCATCACAAGGGATACAAAACGGAGGATCCTCACCTTTTAGTAGATACTCATGTGTGTATCTCGAATGGCCAATACGACATCGTCACATAATGACTTTTTCAAATTTGGACTGACAACCCAAGTGGGGTGTAACCGATATTTGGTTTAATTCCATGTAATTTATTGATACCTACTGGGGTGTCCCACTTCTTCTGCATCAGATTTCGTATATATGATCCAATCTCTGGCTTATAATCAGTGTATGGAATAAGAAGTGGTGTCACAGATTTGTTGAGTGCTGCTTTAGCTTCCATATATTAGCACAATCAATTTATATATACTAGCTTTATAAAGCATTGTTGCATCTTCAATATTTTGTTTCAATTTTTACGTTGCATACTTACAATAGAGTAAGAGTACGAAAATAACTGTTTATTAAAAGGAGAGTTGTTTATGGTAAAAGATATTAAATACTAGTTTCTTCTCTCATTTTCAATTTAATTAGTTTAACATGAGCACAAGGTAATAAACCTGTTGACAGATTAACCCGGTACACTTACTGGTAATTTACGAGATTTGGCGTGTTCACATCACTCGCCCTGAGTTAATGACACCAGTCAAGAGTGAAACAGACCGAATTAGACCGTTAGTTTTCACAGGACCGTTAGTTTTAACCCCCCGCCCCTTGCCAGACAGCAAAGTAAGTACGAACCTTTCCAATATATATCCTCCACTGGTTATTAGTAACAGTTAGAACAAAACTACCCATTTATATTCTCCCTTAATCCCACATCCATACACTCAAAATGTAAAACATACACTTGGCTAGATCGCTGTGTAATCTTTTCAATCAATTAATCTTCATTTATTAAAATATTGAAAGGGTGTGGTGAATATCCCTCTATTGGCAGGGAATATTGGGGACTTATCCGACCCAATGATTCATTGTGAATAAAAAAGGCATTGAATTAAAAGCAATCTTGGTCAGTTCATTTCTTGAGTAGCAAATAGGCAATAACATGATGCAATAGTATTGTCTTTGTATGTTCTCGTGCAAATACAACCAACCACACCTGATTTCATTGAATAGGGGGCTTCAGCTACATGTATATGGCTGAAGTTGTTCACAGGAAATAATGTATGGTTGGAACAACAGAGTGACGTAAATAAAATGATTTCGGTATTGTGGTGAAGCAGCTGAATTGAAATAGAGGTCTTGAACATTAACAGGAATCCACAAATTGCTTCAAGAGTTACCATACTTTTCTAAACACCACTCTGTATTTCTGATAATTTCTGTTTTCTTAACATGATCTTTATTTCAGTCACAAGTGGTATTTACGAAGAACAGGAGACAGAAGACAAACAATACGGTATTACATTTTTATTATTTTATTTTATTATAACAGAATAATCCAAACACACGATGCATTTCTCTGAAAGAAGAAACCAAACAACGTTTTTGTACCCAAAACGCTTTAGTTTTCAGTACATCCAGCATGACCAGTGAATTATTAATGGTTTTTGGAAACAAGTTATGTTTTCAACCATTTCCTTGAACTGAAAACGAGATATAATTCAACGTGTATAAATACACATTCAGCTGACACATAGATCCTTTTCAAGTTATCATTCAATGTCGATTTATGATTGAGTGATGATTTAGGTTTCAACACCCTGACAGTATCGACATTCACTGTTACTTGATTCACTAATGTCACAATATCATTTAAATCAGATCTTGGTTCTCGCTTCTGTAACCACTACTGTTAAACAGATACCCGAAGACATCCCATTCAGGCCTCATCAGAATGACCTTTCGCCATGATTCTAATGAAATTGATAATGTCATTGTCCATATGCTTGACGTCAGTGAGTGGTAAAATATCATAAGTTTAGCGAAACAGATATAAAACTTTGTATATTTTCCCCTTGTTTAGATGAAATAACAAATACAATCCAGATATTAAACCTAAATCACCCATGAGAAATGCTTACCTCGTTCTTCCTTACTCGTATTACAAAGATAAGGAATTCATGTGTCAGGCACGTGTTGAGTTTGAGATTCATCATGGTGGGAATGAGGAAGACAAGCAAGAGTGAGTGAGTGAGTGAGTTAAAATAAAGCCACAGTAGCAGTATTTCGGCCATGTAGGATGTCGAACACTTGTCGACAAAGGACAGAAAAATAACAAGCAGCATATCATATATTTTATAACTTGTATATGAACACTGTTGGAAAATAGTTCCTGTGCATCACTGACTATAATGGGAATTAATTCTTAAAGCACCAACAGGGAATAATTTTGCAACAGAACAATATATCACCTCTTGCTGAAAGTGGCGTGGGATCAGTTGTTCATATAACCTAGCTGTAGGTATTCTTGGCTGTTATCCCATGTAGCGTGACATTTACTTTATTTGGTGACTCTTTATTTATATACTAACGAAAATAAGAGTTCTTCAAACAAATTTCAATAAAAAATAAACATATTCTGAAATGAAATAATACATCTTTCAATACATGTTTATGAAGACTTCTCGATTTTCAGGTTGCGATTCACATTTTCTCACTTGCATGTTCATGCATGGAGCACAATTTAGTTGTTTGTGTGTTTGTTTGGGGTATGATAATCACACATGTGATGTTTTCATGTGAATGACTTCACCAGGCATTTGCTAGTGAAACCAAAAGAATGGTTGAACTTGATGTCTTCTAAATGCATAGAACTTCGTTGCCAGCTGCGTCACGAGCATGCTCACTCCACTGTTTATTTGGCCTCAGCGACTGTCTAATTTTCTGAAATGTATATTTGTGAAAACAAGCATGACTTCCTGAATCGTGAAGAGATTAGCTGAAGCATTGATGAATGGAATGTGAAACCATCCCAGGAACAACACTGTGATTGATCCATATACAGCTTTTACGTGTGGCCTCATTTATATCCTTTAAAAAAAACGAAATGTGTCTTAGCTTCTTTTCCAGAAAGGGACGTTACCAACATTTTTAATCTATCAGATATAGATAGAATTATATGTAATCAATAAATTTTGACAATCAATTCACATGAACAATTTTTTTTGCATTGGTGCATAGATTCCTGTTATAATACCTATCCAGATAGCACAGTGTTCTACGGTAAAATAGGGCCAAAGTCTGCTTATTTGGACTAACTTGTGCTCGCCATGAAATTATGAATAAACATATGTATCAAAACATAAGATTATCATAAACATAAAACAAATTATTTAAAAAAAAATTGATCTAAACACATCATATATCTGTTCTCCTTACACTAATACCATACTATATTTGGTGTAGCGAAATGAACAAAAGGTGGAAGGAGAGGTAACTGTATTAATACTTGTCATCCATCAAACACCTCAAGGTGTCATAGGCACCCATAATGTTTGTTTATACTACAGATGCTGTATGTGCTACCTCAGTGAGAGTGTCTCCTGGAGTCCGCCAAACTGTCCAGATGAAGAGGGCGGGCAAGGGAATAATGGAGGCACAGGATATCATCCAGCCGACGGCTGTGGCCCAGGCAGGATAGATGTAGTCCTCATACTTAGGAGGTCGGTAGGAGTAGAGGGAGTAGCCGAAGATGATCTGGATGAAAAGATGAAAAGGACCTTCTGTGTGCCATTCTTTGCATTTCTTATTCTTGAGAGGAGAGATACATGTAGTCCTAATAATTAGTGAGTGCGTTACGTGTAACACTGCTTTGAACAGTATTCCAGTTGTACCAAAGTTTGTCAGTTTAAATCCGGAGAAATGATCGAAGATTTGGAGGTCTAGGACGTTGACATGGCATGGGGAGTGTAGATGACAGAAAGTCACTTTTGTTTATTTAGCGGTATGTGGTTGAATGGCTTGGCTTGGACAGGGGTGGCAACTGCGATTGGATGGTATGAGAGAAAAAGCATGCGGTTTGGCGTGAAATTTGAAAGTGTGCATCGTTGTGAGTGATAAACTGGTGTACGGCTGTCAACGCTATGATTCTGCTACGAAATTTTAAGTAATACATTGCATATGCATCTAGCAAATCCTCAAGTGACGTCACAGGTCATGGGTCAACCGGAAGTGACGTCATAACCGAAAGTGACATTTCATGGGGGTTATTGGTCATAGCCAAGACAGGAAGTGAAGTCATAACCGGAAGGGACGATGAGTACATATTCTGGGAATGATGACGAAGTGACGTCATAGCATTTCTGCTCATGTGATTTAGTGTGTCCACCGGTTTTGTGAGAATTGAGTGATTAAATGGTGGTCTCGACACATAATGGTCGGACATTTATGCTGTATACACTAAAAAATAGCGACCCGCAAAATCTTTTTTTTTATCTATTAACGAATGCATTTATTAAATGGATGTATTTGTGAATAGCTGACATGGTCATCGTGAAAGAGAGATATCGTATATGTTCAAAATGTCGGTCTCGGCACATATAGTAGGATATTTCTGCTGTATGCCCCCATAAAATGACAACCCGCATACGCTTTTTTTTACCATTGTGTATAAATTAACGAATGCATTTATAAAATGGGTGTAGTTGTGATGTTTATTATATCCAAGGCGAATGATGTCTTTGTCGAATTAATAAATGTAATGATGTGTTTCTTACATGAAAAATACATTGCATACATGATAATCAAGACAAGTCAAGTTTTCTTTTGTTTTTTTGGTTGGTCCTTTTAATGACCTTTGAATTGACGCGTATACTGGAGTTATACGTTTCTAAATACCAAATTTAACTCCGCAATGAAAGCATTGTACCCGATCGTTAGTTCCGGTGTAGAAGAATCCACTCATTGCCAGATCCAGGGGAGTTTGCTTCATCTGTATCTTATCAGCAGCGGATTAAGATGCACAAATCACATGCACGCTTTTTAAGAGAGAGAGTCTGGCGACGCCGTGGGTAATGTTATTCGGATGCTTGTGTTGAGGGGGACTCGTGGGGTGATCTTAGCATCATTGTGTGGGGTGGAATTGGTCTTGCACAAAGGGTCGGCCCTGTGTTCTTCCAGAACATCTGTCAAGGGAGAGTCATTTCTTTCTTGAGACTTTCGCGAAATGACATATACTCACTCAATTCTCACAAGCAAACTCCCCTTGATCTGGCAACAAGTGGATTCTTCAACACTGGAACAGTGTACAGTGCTTTCATTGCGGAGTTAAATTGTGGAGTTAAATTGTATCGTTGGAAAAGTACGGATACTCCCGTCACAGAGCACAGGCGATATTTCGGTTATGACATCATTTCCTGTCTTGGTTATTACCCATTATCCCTATATGCCACTTCCGGTCATGGCGTCACTTCCGGTTGACACATAACCTGCGACGACACATGGGGATTAGCTAGGTCCGGACCAGAATAAGCCTGGTATACTACTGGCTAGTGAGTGTGTGAATGTTGGTTAACGCCAGTCAGCAATATTCCAGTTATCAGGAGGACCTGTAATTAATGCAGTCAAAACCAGATAAACCAGTGAAAAAAATATTTATACGCCATCGAGAAACGAACACGATCCCAGATGTGTGCCACTCCGGTAAAAGCCATGAGGGCGTGGCTGACAAAGGTAGAATCATAATCAGGGTGAATCTGGGATCGAGTAAGCAAGCACAGAAACTGATACATTAGACAGCTGGGTCTCACATGACCCCTCTTGATCCCGTGATCATAAGATTCTGGTACGACTAAAGTCACACAGTCACACAGATTATGCGACCGAACCAACTGGCGACACAAATATTTGACAATCACATTGAGGTTTCAGGGGTCTCTGACAGGTTTCTCTAAGGTCGCTACAAGGTTTCAGAGGGGTCGCAAAATCCATACGGTCGCATGCACAAAAGACTGGCTGCAACCGATTTGGTCGCTCGGAGGTTTCATTGGTCACCAAGAGGTCTCCTAGAGGTCCCCAAGTGGTGTTATTTTAATCGCAGATTGGTATCCACTATGCAGTGATCGGTTTCATAGTCATATGAGACCGTCACTCACCGGAAATGACTTAATTGCATGGGTTTCATGTACACAAGGGTGTTGACTCTTTGCAACCTCGTGCCGACCTATCGGTGATTGATCAGTGATGAGGCAGTGGTCGACTGGTGCTTCATCGGTGACTGGTTGTTGATTAGTTGCAAAGTGATTTCCAAGCCTGCGTCGATCATTCGCCGTTGGATTTGCAACATGTCACTGTCTGTGACCTGTCTGTGCATTACAGCATCATTCTCATAAGTACTCAGAGAATTCACATCAATTATTTCCATTCATCACTATGGTCCATATAGACAGGAAAATAAAAGAAACCAGAAATTGTAGAAGATACAATAGAGACAACTGCTGTGGAGTACAGGTCTGCTACAATGGAGCCAGAGCCAACAAAATCTCAACAAAAGAAGAGGCGGATACCTGATGAGGAGGAAGAGCCAGAGTTGTTGACAGGCTCCATTCTGAGGAAGCCAACAAAATCATCACGACTTTCTCTCTCCAACTCTGCCTTCAGATTCTCATAGTCTCATAGTCTCCTAGCCAATACTCCCTTCGCCTTGTCCTTCTCATTCTTCTGCACATCATCATGGCAGCAACTGCAGCATTTTGGTTTATTCTTTGCAGGCGGAGCAACTGCAAGTGTTCTGATGTTAACATCTTGACTCAGAAAAACACCCTTTTTATAACTAGCTGCAACAAGTCACCGAAAATTCGCTGAATATTCACCGATCCGTCTCACCCAGTTGCAAACATTTCGCAGTATCTGCGGTGCACAATTGCCGATTGATCACTGACAAGTTGCAAAACCTATCACTGATTGATCGGCGGTCATACCCTAATTCCAAATATGGGCAGAAGTAGTTTCACTGGTCTCAGCTATCGCCAGTCGGTCCCAAAGGAAATCGGTCGCCAAGAGGTTGCGTCGCGGTCGCATTGTCTGTGTGACTGTAGCTTTAGGAAAGAAGCACAGATACTGATACCTTAGACAACGCGGCCTCACACGCCCCCTGTTGATACATTGATGGTAGATAGAAAAAATGGTGCATTGTCAATAATATTAATTTTAGAGACACAGGAAATTGCAGAAATGAATACATTACTAGTTTGTGTAGACACTCGAGCTCTTTGAGGACGTAATGTATGACATGATATCCGAAGCTGTTGTCTTTATTACCTATGTCTTAAATTAACCCTATGCCTTCCTGAATAACTTTAGAAGTCAATACCACATTCATATGAGACTGTCACTTACCGGAAATGACTTAATTGCCTTTACAATTCTTCGAAGTTTGAATCAATCAATCTCACTATCAATAGACTACAATCATCGCTATAATGCTATTTTCTGTGACGATTTTTCTAGTCATGAGCCGAAAGTGGTTGAAAGTAGAGGCCAATTTGCATGTCCCTATGGTGGTATGTGTGGATCACCCATTTTTGTTGTTGTAGCACTGTGGGTGTTATTCGGTACAAACTGCTATTTGAAAGCTTTATTGCGTGTATCACGCCATAAGTTTATTTATTTGCTCTCTTTGATTAATCGGCTCCAAACCTTTGATCTTTTAAGAAGAGGAAACAACCCCTTGAGACCCTACACGGCTCTGATTCACCCTTGTCATTACACACACAAAATAATTATTGTGTTGGGACATTCAATTACACTCAATCTGCCTGAATAACTGCATTCGTAAATGAATCCTCTGAAGGTATTATTTCCAATATTTCGAGGACATTGCAAATTGGTAATATACAAAAATATATGATACAATATGTGATTACTGTATACAAATTTCTGGAGTATGAAAGTAACTAACAAAGACATTTTTCTCTGATCTTTAGGTGTAAACTGATTCTTCTATTAATGTTATTATATATGTCCATGGCGACGTAATTCAACAGGCATTAGGAATTTCAAGGCAGCTGATCACGAGTTGAATCAAATTGAGAGCTAAAACAGACCTACCACAAGGAGTAATGGAGATGCAAATTTGATTGACATGGTGAAAAGCTTAGGGATCTTCTTCCCCCACATCAGTTGGACGTCCGCTTGAAGCCTCGTTGTGCCTAAACAGTATGAACAAAGTAATGACCACCTAAGTTCATAGTTCTTATCAAAGGACAAACTTTTAAAACAATTGGGGAAGTACAAACAATGATTCATTCCAAATATGTACTTTGGAAGTGTTTCAGTATCACTCAGGCTGCTTACCGTAGAGCCACCCCATCACAATGCATTCCGACAAGGCAAAGAGCGCTGTGGACGGGAAATAGGCATACCAATCCACCAGTGTCAGCATGTATATCCCACCCTGAAAATGGACATAAATGGGAATAAATGGTCAAACGTTTCAGAAAGATTCGTTCTCTTGTTCAAGGCCTCAGTATTACTTTGAAAAGTTTTTGTTGTGGACATGTTGACATTTCTGAATTTGATGCATTAGTTCTCCATTTTGACTTTGTTCCCGTTGTGTGTCTGATTTACAACAGTTGACTTAACTTTGCATGTGTTTGTGACATGCTTTTGACAGAGATTTGTTATGGTTATAGAAATGGTTCAGTCACTTTTATTTATATGGTTAGCTGTCTGGACCATGACAGTCAGTTGGAACGATTGCTACTGGGGTCCTGTAAAAACTACATTCATCAGTCACTCAGTTATGTTTGTGATTCCTGATCTGATCATCGACCATATTTTGTACAAAAAAGGTTTTATCGTGATACCTGTAAATGATAGATGATGGCAAAGGGGAAACTGCTCAAGAGGATCAGAGCTGTTAGAAGCCACCGACGCTTATGATTACGTAGACTTGGGAACATATCTTCAAATGCTGATGATATGACTTCAACGGCTGGCAACTGTAAGGTAAGGTTCAAGGCCAGCTTATAAAGCACACGTTAAGTACAGCAAGAGACAGCTTACGAGACAAGTACCCCACAACTTTTCTCTTTGAAACAGTGCTTGTCAATAAAAATATAAATTGGGTCCAACAAGTGTGCTTGTTTCAAGACTCACGTAAATGTGTCACATGTTGCTATAACATTATGACTTATTATTTTGATAACATTAATATAACAAGAATAACTGTCAGAGGATAGAGCCGTCAGGTCAGCGTTTGTTGCCAGATGGATGCACAGTTTAAGGGCCTCATGCTGCAAGATACAATATTCATCAATCTACATGTTTTCATTCTAGAAGGCCTTCACTACTCATTGTTTCGCTTTTGTTTAGTAACGTGGTATATTTCGTCACACACGATGTATCATATGATAAAGGAAAATTATAGAAGTAAGCACTGCTATTTTTTAGAGTAAAAATGTATGAATTACAATGTCACATCACACACTTGCTATATTGCAGCCATATAGCAAGCCATTAGGACACGGTTTTTCAATATTCTTTACTGCGAATTTCACATCACAACGGATGCACTTTGGAGGGCTTCTGCGTTAATAATCGTGAGAAAGTCGAATGTGACAAATGCAACGTTGCCATATGACATGTCTAGATTGTCAAGTCAGGTTAGTGTAACCAGCAGTTGGTTCAAAGTCAGCCATGTCTGTTAACTTTGTTCAACCTTTGTGCGTCAAAAATATTGGCAAATCATCATGGCTAATTAATTTTTCTTTTTTCTTAAGTTTTCTTGAACACTTCATACAGGCATCGTTACCTAATTACACACTCATTAACACCTATTCTACTTTAACGTTTTACCTGACAATCTATTTCCAGTGTCATCAGCATGATAAATGTCAAGGTTGACCATAATTGTGGCAGGGGCAGATAAGTCAGGACTTGCGGAAACACAATAAATGCAAGGTTGAAGCCTGAAAGGGACGATGGTCAAGATATAATAGTCAATCACAAACACCCATATGGCTTGGGATGCCTCATCACAGACAGAAACACACTTACAACCATCGAGTGAAACCAAAAGACTTGAAGACTTTATGCAACACGTGACCTAACTGTGCCCCAATGGGTTTTTGGTCTGCATACAACACCAATGTTATAACCACCAGACATTTGTGCAGAAAATACAAAGTGATGCTAATAATAATATATGATGTAATAATGTCATTATCGCTTTTGATGATCATGATTTGGAATGAGGGCTCGATGGTTGAATTTTAAAGTTGATCTCCAAATCCATGAGTTACATCCTTTTGTCTTGAAATTTATCTCTCTCTTCTTTAGGTTTAAGATATTCTGAATAAGGGCTCGTTAACTGTTCCCATTACACTCCCATTAAAAGTATCTTAATCACATCGCACTAGTATGGTGCAGACAAAGCTAGACACATTCTCAGGTTCAACAGTGATTCGAAACCAAAATCATAGTTTTCTGGCATGATTACCTTTTACAAAAGAATACATACCCGAATATTTGCAAAGCATTTGGACTCCTATATACATATGTCCGTACGTAATGTATCTAACGCGGCTCATCCCGTCATTAACATCACCTGGTTACATGCACTCGACGACTAAAGCAACTAACCTGATGACGCAAAAGCCTCTACTGTCACTCCACGTTGGTAGGCAACGTGACCGATGATTGAAAAGAAGGAAAATCCGACCAAAATAGTAGCAAGCATATCCACGATACAAACACAAACTGCGTCTCTAAAATGGAAATGGATATCAATCGAAATCGAGATAGATCTGTTTATAGGTAATGTATGATCACATTTTAGGGTATGCATGTTCATGCTGTTATACGTTCCATGACAGGCGATGGTGTTAAGTTACCATTGCAGGTGATGACGTTACAATTACCGTTGCAAGTCAAGATGTTAAATTATCATTGCCGGTGAGGCAGTAGAATTTCAAATTATATGTCCACTCTGGTAACATAAGGTTTCTTGTAAGAAAACCTACCTGAAACAGTTATTGTTGAACTTGTTGTATTTCGACATGGTTAAATTGAATCCCATGCCAACAGTCAAGGAAAATAAAGCAAAATTACATGCCTCAATCCATATCTGGAGAAAGAAGAAAATAACGGCTACTGTCTGCATTTGTAATTTAACTGAGGAGCAAAGGAATCTTTACTTCACAGTTGACTTTCATAATGTCTGATTTTCAACTGAAAATATCTTCGTTAGCGATATTATATTGAAAACTTTACTGTGCTGGCGCTCAGTCAGATCTCAATACTTCTTGTTTTGAATGTTTTAAATTTTATAAAACATTTATTTTTTGCATAATGCTAGACTGCTGATCGGTTTCTTAGACATCTTATCTTTAAAAATCAATAAATGTGTTTTTTTCGACACACGTTTATAACATGGTAGGGGTTATGTGGTTGCAAATTCTTTTGTCATAAGTCTTGTAGATAGTCTTTTGTCACTCTAATTCTTTATGCATATATTTAAATATGAAACAGATGAGGCGGTTTCAATGGTATATTTTATTTTTAGCTGAGGTGTGTCTATCAGGGAAGGCAATTGGCGATTTGACCATTATTGAAAGACCAAATCATCAATCTACATGACGTCTTGGTTAAATGCCGTTGTTTTGATTCTGCCGATCAGCAAATAAATCATATGCATAAAGGAGGGGAGCACGAATGGTGCCCATGGGGAAGCCGACTTCGAGCCTAAATGCTTTATCCCCAAATTCTACACATATGTTATCTGAGGGGAAATCCAGCATTTCAGAGTGCTTTCATTTTTGACAACTTGAAGATAGAGGTGCAACTATATCTATAGTCACATGCATCAATGAATTGAAACGTTTTCATTCGGATTTAGTTCTTTCATGTGCTTTCTTTCAGAATGACTCATAGATGACAAGCATTTAATGTACAGCAGTCAGACTTTGGATGACCCCTGGTTCTGTAAGCTTATCGAAGTTGGGTTTGATGAAATAATACATTCCTTCAGCTGACCCTGGCAGTAGACATCCCCTGACGAGGAAGACGATGATCAGGACAAACGGAACGCCCACAGTGACATAAACAAGCTGCAACAGTCATCAAGGTTACCTTAGGCGTACGACATGGAAACAAACAACAACGATATCAGTTAAGCAATCGTATCACGTCAACATCTATGAGGTAAATATTAGAACAGTCTTTGTGACATAAAAACAATGTGTTATGGCAGACAAATAGTAGATGTTTGAACAAACAAATGTTTGGTATGCGTTTACATGTTGATTAAGTGAGTTATTAAGTTTAGAGGGGCGGTCGGATAGCCTAGTGGTTAAAGCGTTCGCTCTTCACGCCGAAGACCCGGGTTCGATTCCCGACATGGGTACAATGTGTGAAGCCCATTTCTGGTGTCCCCCGCCGTGATATTGCTGGAATATTGCTAAAAGCGGCGTAAAACCATACTCACTCACTCACTCACTATTAAGTTTAGAGTAAGGATTCTTCTGATATATTCATTGCTTGATTTGGATTTTTTTCTTTAACGCCTACACTCCAACTACATGACGGCGGTCTGTAAATAATAGATTCTGGACCATACAATCCAGTGATTGATATCCTACCATCGCAAATCGTTACATAGATGTATTTGACTGACTTGCTTTTGCATGTGTTTGTGACGGCGACCACTAGTTGGGCAGGACAAGCTCACCTTTTCGCAAACACCTGGTATCATCATGATAAAGACAACTATAATCGATTCTGCTTTTAGCAGAGATTATATTATGAATATGGAAAGGGGTTTGTCCCTTTTATTTACCTTTCCAGTCACCCTGATCCCTTGACACTGGCAAACAAACACAATCAAGTATGTTATGGCCAGACACAGAACCAGAGGCCACCTTACTCCACCCATGTCCTGTAAACCATCAGTCAACTGCAACACTTGCAATCTGACAGTATTCTGCAATCTGACAATTGTGAGTGAGTGAGTGGGTGAGGGACGGAGTGTTTTTCGTTGATATGAACAATATTACAGTTTTATCAAGGGTTGGCAGCGTTATGTTGGAAGAATGCTGAAAGTGAAAACCTGGTATTATCACTAATTTTCAGTGATCCATTCATAAAATTCCCACTGTTATTTTACTTTTACGCACGAAGGAACCTGTTTCAGTGGATAATCGAGACTGGTTGACGCTAGGCCAGTTAGCAACTACTTTTCAATCAATATTAAATTGTATGCTCATTCACGTGTGGAGAATTTTGTAAGTTTGCAGGGGACCATGGTTTTCAAAAGCTGAACGGCTTAATGTTTCACATAGTAAATTAAGTGTGAAAAGAAACTATACACTTGAGAATTGGATTTGACCGAAACATTACGAATGTTTATCAAAACCATTCTAGGGTTATAACAGTCTCCGAAACAATGCACACTTAAGACCCAAAACATAACAATGACTCCCGTATCAAGTACATCGTCATCGAATAACCATTTCTTGTTTCATTGTTAGCTTCTCTCAAACATGGGTGTATACATTCTTTTGCCCTGCAGTATAGTCGAAACCTTGCTTGATGGGTCAAGACCCAGTTTCACCTAGGTCCTTGTTCTGTCAGCAGCACTCAACGTAATTCGGTTGACCAATGCGATACATTTCACTTCTCTCCTCTTGTTGTTTGTTTGTTTCCTGTTTGTAGTTCAACGCCAAACTTAGCAATATTCTAGCTGTATGATCGGGCCTGAACCAGGCAATCCAGGGACTGACTTCACGAACATCAATTTATGCAAATTGGATGCAATGACATGCATCAACCAAGTCACTGAACATGTCCACCCGATTCAGTTTGTCACCTCTTACGACAAGCATGGGTTGCTTAAGATGAATTTTAACCTGCATCTTCACGGGGTACGTCTCTCCTCTAACATTTGCCATGATAAAACTGAAATGCTCTTACAGTCGTCCCCACCGTGATATTGCTGGAATATTGCTAAAAGCGGCTTAAAACCTCACTCACTCACTCACTTACAGTCGTCATTAACTTGCTTAGAACTAATCCTGTTTCGTCGACACCTGGTGTCATCACTGATTTTCATTCATAAATGTTTCGATTCCGGGGTAGAATAGGTCTTCAGCAACCCATGCTTGCCGTAAAAGGTGACTATGCTTGTCGTAAAAGGCGACTAACGGGATCGGGTGGTCAGGCTCGCTGACCTGGTTGATGCATGTAATCGATCCCAATTGCGTGGATCGATGCTCATGATATTAATCACTGGATTGTCTGGTCCAGACTCGATTGTTTACAGACCACCGTCATATAGCTGGAATATTGCTGAGTGCGGCGTTAAACAACAAACCAACCAACCAAACCAATAATAAATTTTGCATCACTTTGCAGACCTTTTGGCTGAATGGAATCTGTTTCTGAAAATATTCGAGAGTGATCATTGTCTGGCGTTGACGTTTTAAAGGTGTGAATGAACCACAGCACCTGAACATCTATTCAATGCAGCGTTAAATCCAGCTCACTCACTATACATGTATTATAAGCACTGTGAATCATACCATGGTCATTTTGAATGGGGAATATATATAGACTCTTCAGCAACAAAAAACAGATATTTGCCTCTCTGTGGTTTTCAATAAAATGTCAGCCCCCAAGAATCTCAAAATTGTCAGTTCCTTACTTCCAAAACTCTTCTGCAGCAGTCATACACACGTGCGCTCCTTCGGTGAAGTTTACTTGATGACTGTAGGCAGTACAGTTTGTAACTTCCGAATGGTTCGTAGAGGCCACATGGATACCACTGTCAGATATACATGAGGGGGTGTTCCAGTCGTTGTTGCAATGGGCCCAAGGTAGGGTGGAAGAAAACGACTGGTAGAAGAAGTAGACAAACCAGGAAAATATGGCATTGTAAAGTGTGAATATAATCCATATGAGAATCAAGATGCCAACACCAATTCCTGAAAAAAAAACGCAAGGTCATCGCATGGGCAGATTTCTACTCAAAAGAAGTGAATTAACACTCGATTCTTTTTCATTACTATAGTTAATATGTCATTGCCATATATATTGGGTAGTAAACATTCACCATATTGTATGCAAGAGTGTGGACAAAGTATTATTATTAACAAAACCTCAATAATAAATTAAGCCCGAAGATCATGCATAACTGATCACACTTCAGCGTCAGTAATATGTGTTTACGCACGAGAACACTAAACCAAATAGTTAAGGTTAATATATAAATGTTGTTTGAACACAAATAATAAGTGTTCTTAGCGACATTTCTTAAATGCTGTACAACCAAAGAATAAGCACCCATGTACCTTTGAACGGTGGACACATATTCCAGGCGTTGATTGGTCCACTCTGGGAGAGCTGACCAATCACCATATCCAGGAACACACAAGGCATGACGGCGATTATGGTGAACAGGGCGAAAGGTATCACAAACGCACCTAAACGATAACATGAACATTGATAAACCCTTAATAGGACTGGGATTAAATGGGATTCAAAACAGAATGTATAACAAGGCATAGGCATATTTGCACGTGGTACAGTTAGGGAAGAGAAGTAACGAGATTATGGTATGAGCAAATGACAAAACATAGGTGCAATAATCTCAAATGATATATGACATATTATATACGCGTTTGGCCTACACGTATTACGTGTTCCATGACACCCGCATGTTTCGAGGTACCCTGACTTTCTTTAATTGCGTTTTTGCACGTAATACACTTTTTTTCAGAACTCATTTGTGCATTATACCTGCAATGGTATCAGTAAATATACTCACAGAATTTCATCTCTTTTGAGATATAGCCGACCAATTGAAATATGTTATTTTTAGCACATCTGACGGAAATGTCAACATTAGTCGTAACATCTTACCTCCACCATTACGCATACACAAATATGGGAACTTGATAAATGCCCCTGATCCTATACTAGAACCAAATGAAGTGATGATGTAGTCCAAATGGTGCCGCCATCTTTCGCCGGCCATCCCTGTATAACACACAAATAAGTGTGTGACTTTAACCTTCGACCAAACAGTATATCTGCGTTACTTCAATATTATTCAAACATGGCTCGACCTTTATGCATAAGGGCGGATATCAATGCAATGTTATTCATAACAAATGCGCATTTAGAATAGTCTGAATTTATGTCCTATTTATTTGTAACGGCGCTGTATTCCTTCCGAGTGCTTGGTGGGATCAACCATCTTGGTACCCGGGAAATCAAAACTATAACCATCATCACCCCAATCATCTCCGCTTTTAACATTGTGTACCTAATGTTTAATACAGAGCTACGGATAGCGAAATATGGTGAAGAGGTTACCGCGGTTGTGGATCTTTTTCTGCCATGTTTGAATTTCAAGCGAATGACGGCGAATATTGATTGTGCACCCATGTCACATAAACGTAACTATTATTATATCAGACAAGCAATTTGAAAGAGAAACCGATCAGAATGGTCAGAAAGATCTACTTTTTCGCCATTGTGTAACTATTGGCGTAAGACTACTGACGTTTAGTCCGCAGCGGAAGTTCAAGTATTGCATATTTTTATCGACTGTTTGGCATGACGATATAGCACGGTGCTAGAGACGAAACAGTGCAGATGCTGATTGAAAAGAAATATTGAAATTTAGGATATGGAGAGATGGTACCAACACGTAAACATTGAATGGCCAATGTAGGCCCGAATTGATCGACAGCGCATGTTCGCAGCATAGCTGTGCAGCGATTTCTTGTCTACCAGTTGCCCTGCATGCTCGTCCGTCTCGACACATAACTGGTGCTTTTTGCAGACGAAATAAGTAAGAGTCACGTGTGATTGATCAGACTACCTGACCGTGTGGAATGCCCTAAACGTCTCAAATGTTGCCGCAGAAGGAGATTTCAAAAGGGGCCAGGACATCTATCCCGAATCGACGCCATATTGTAAACAAATTGTGTCAAAGTCGGTTTCACATGTAGTGTCTCGTCCCCCGTTTCTGTCGATAGTGCACGAGACACAAACATAATACAAATACTGAAAACGTCAACATAATTTCTAAAATGATGACAGCAATACCTTTTTGCATTTAGGTTAACCGCTTATTTGTACGATGTGCTGTAAAGTTCGGTTTCGATTTTTTCCCCTTTAATTGAAACCGTGATAATGGCGCTATGATTGGTTTGCTGAAATAGCGTTTTCAGTGAGTTTAATGTACATGGTACATGCTGTACTTGTACAAGATGACTGATAACCAACTTTGTATGTAAATATACTAGCCACATAAAGAAACTGTGCACGGAGAAAATATAGATATAAGGGCACACCGTCCATATATGAAAGATGGGTTTGAACACAGCAATTATTGGAGACATTCAAACGCTCATGCACGTGCCATGCGATATGACGTCATTGATGGGGGCCTATGGACGTGCAATGTGTTACTGCACGTGCATCCTGTGCAGCTGTACACAGCATGTGCAACTCAAAATTCGCTGTCACTTTGGAAAGCATGATCTGTGGTCATTCAAAAATTCAAAACTTCTCAGGCGCAGACACAAGCATATCACAAGCAAATCATGCCGAGATTAACAGCTGCACAGCGTCATGAAGCCATTGGAATGATCCGAGCAGGAATGAGGCAACAACAGGTGGCAACACATTTCCAATGCCATCGTAACACGATATCGGCATTGGTGAGGCGTTATCAGAACACAAATGACGTTGCCGACCACCCACGTTCAGGACGTCCCCGAGTAACAACGCCAAGACAGGACAGATGGATTCGAGTTACACATCTCCGACACAGGTTCCAAACGGCAGTAACGACGTCCCAGACAATTCCTGGACTGCGCCGTATCCATCCCAACACTGTCAGGAATCGTTTACGTCAGTACTGGATTCGACCACGACGCCCTGCCATACGTCCCATCCTGACACACCATCATCGAGTCAACCGTCTAAGATGGTGTCGAAATCATGTTCGCCAGCCTCGAATATGGTGGAGAAATGTTGTCTTGACAGATGAATCGAGGTTCAATATTTCCCACAGTGACGGGCGCCAACGTGTCTACCGGCGTTTGGGAGAACGTTATGCACGCAACTGTATTGTGGAGAGGAATCGTTTTGGAGGTGGCTCTATGGTGATTTGGGGTGGGATAACAGCACGGCACCGAACCCCTTTGGTGGTTGTTTAGGGCAATCTCACCGGTATTGGCTAGAGATCAGATTCTGAGGCCTGTGGTCATTCCTTTCCTGCAACGTCATGGCCCGGGATTGACATTTCAACAGGACAACGCTCGTCCTCACACGGCTAGGGTCGCAATGGATTTTCTTCTCCATAACAATGTCATGTTACTGCCATGACCTGCAATTTCTCCAGATCTCTCCCCAATAGAGCATGTGTGGGATGAAATGGAGCGCCGTCTGCGACGTCTTCCACATCCTCCAGATAACGTCCGTGACTTGGCACAGGATTTGAGGAAGATATGGCAGACCATTCCCCAGGCCTTCCATGCCCATTTGGTGGACTCCATGCGTCGCCGATGCACTGCTGTGATTCACGCACAGGGTGGTCATACCCGTTATTGACTTTGTGACTTTGTCGTTTGACCCCCTACTCCATTTTGATCTTCTGGCGTCATCGTAACAGATGTTGTTCAGGTCCCGTTGACATTTTCTTATGGTCCGATCATTCAGCTGCTATAACGTCTGCATCATTTTGTTCTTGCTGTGTTGTATTTCAATCCAGAATATATTTTCTCCGTGCACAGTTTTTTTATGTGGCTAGTATATATAATCAGACGACACATTATAAATCTCCTCAGAAAATGGAATATATTATCAAAACACGACAGGTTCGTATGTATTCTGCAATGGATATTAGACTTACAATTTATTGATGTAGACTGTACTCTCGATTATCGTCAGATAACCTTTTGCAAGTCTTCAGTGTTTATTTGATATGTTATCTGAAATGTCAGCAATGAGCAAACGCTTTATTTATTTTTTCTTTCCATGGCGTTACAATCTGCAATTTTATTTGTGTAGGCTAATAGACGGTCGGTTATTTCCCGCCGCTGTGAATTTCTCGTCTGGACAGGTGCGAGTGGTTTGACCCCAACGTTTGTCGTATAATGGATACACGTGTCATGGTCTCAGCATCCAAATTATAATATTCTCTTTGACTGAACTAGAAAGTAGATCTAGTTCATCAAAATTAAGCAGATTTCCATGGCGATCGACGAGTAAATGAGAATGGTTGGCGCAGATTTGTGAGTTTGGTTTGCTGACATGAGCTTTTCATATCTGTTTGAAGGCTTGATATTCCAAGACAATAATGTACCTATTGTAGCGTAAGGGAATGGAACGTTTTACAGTGAGAAAGGATAGATCCAATATTAAAAATCCGTTTTAATATTTTAACTCAAACATTAGAATCTCGAATGGTTCAATTAATAACATCAAAAGTAAAGGTAGTTAAATCTACACACAATATATAGATAATTGATTTCAGAATGACAAAATGTTTTCAGCGTCAATGTGTTTTCGTTTCGATGTTTTAATACTTTCATTAATTTGTTTTTCACTCTGCATAATCAAATACTTCGATCAGTGACATTTGACTTGTGATTAACATACGTATTTAATAATAATTACTTTGTTTTGTATCCTCAGAAAGAAATATGATTCTTGTCTAAGAGCTAAATGAATGCATTCTTGTGGTTCTTTTCTAACATTTTAAATGAACATGTTCCCTCCAAGCTGTAGATTAGCTGGGACAAAGAAAAACGGAAATACATAATTACTGAAAACCATTTATATTAAGATTTTGCTCGTTATATTTCAATACCAAGAATCTATGTTCCATTATTTTCATTGATCTACGATCATTATATGTTTCAAACCTTTCCATTTGTAGAATGGGATGAAATGGGAAATTGCACTGGAAATAAGCTATTGTCGGAACTGCGTTGGGGCGTCAAGGGGGACCCTATTTCAGTTACCAAAACATATAGCCGTTCCTTGTCGTTTTGGTCAGTTAAGCCAGGATTCTGCAATCCTCCTGGTCATCGGGGTTTCTCTGAGTCAAGGAGTGAGGCGTCATTCGACTACCGCCACTCCTTATCATCCCAAATTAGACATTCTATGATATAGTTTGCGATACAAACATTATAACTTATGAGGCATACGACTTTTGGATGGAATACTACTAATTTATTTCAGTAAAAATAAGCAACAAATCCCTTTCCGTAGCCACAAGAAAATCTCTGCTGAAAGACGAGAAACGACTGTAGGATTCCAACTGTATCGTGAGCTTGTACTTATGAATCTTTATCTAATGGTGGTGATACCAGATGTTCACAAAAAGAAAATCTACTTAGAAAATGACGAACGAAGTATTTCTGTCAATATTTCTCTCAGCAATGAAGGTCAAATGAGGAAATTGCCATGGTTTTAGTACACCTGATTGAAAGTCAGTTGAGCTAAATATATAAATACGGTAATCTGTCGGTCGGGCGTCATATGTCGTCTGTCCACAACCCCTCCACTACTGCCTAGAATTCGAAGTTCATTCCTCTTACATGCATGTGCAACGCGTGACGCAACCCGTATGCAACGCGGCCGACTCGCATGTGACACCCGTGACACAATTATTTTGGAGTGAACAAACCTCTGACTGAAGGAGGACCCATGTTAAGCTGAAATTGAATTTTGTGATAAGGAGAACACTCTGTCATGTCTGTAGGTTAATATATGTGCATGTGTGGATTGAAAATTTACAGTGGATATGTGGGTGTGATTTTGATAGGTCTGTAGGCGATTAGTGGAGAAAGAAGGTGTGGTTAGGTGTGGTAGTGGTTGTATACTGGAGACCTGTGTGTGCGTGTAGTTAACGTTTGATCAATGCTGTGTGTATGACATGTGCCAGTGAATGTACGACTATGCTGTGTGTCTCTGTGGGAAGTGAATGTACGGCGATGTTGTGTGTCTATATGG